CCCTTCCCTTTCCCTCTCCACAGGTTCCCTTGAGATGACCCTCGGCCTTGACACGTACATCGAGACAGCCGTGTCCCCGGGCGAGTGCGAGCTAGTCATGCTCAAAAGGACGCAATTTGAGCGCATGTTCAAGCGGAAGTACGCAGCTACTACACTAGAGAAACTCCGCGAAGCACTGGCTCAGAAACTATGTCTCTATATCTACCAATCGGAGCCGCAGAATACGGCGTTTTTGAAATTCCTCAATATGAAACTGATGGACGCTACTGTACTGCAAGAGGTGGGTGTGGAGATGGTGAAAGATCAAAAGAAATGGATAAATAGTGATTGAACGAGCGATCGATAGGTTAGCTTGTTAATTGGTTCGTGGGCTCGTTGGTTGGTGAGTTAAGCCCCGGATACACGAAACGATAAATTGTACAAACACTGGAAAATTTATCGACATTGAGACAAATCGTCAGGTGTAACCACAAAATTGTATAAAGTTTGGACGATTGGACGATGGGTTATTGGAAACTAGGTCGAGAAATCAAGCACTGCTCGATATTTTCCTTGCGATCACGATCACATTTGGGGGAGGCGCGCTGTGACGTAGGCCTGGAATCACTTGAAAATTTGCCGCCGCGCTGGATTAAACTTAGGGCTCAATATTGTAAAAGTGATTATTGCAGGTAAAAACTGATTTCATATTCGGAATCAGCGTCTCAAAACAAGCGAAGTTGCTCGGAAGTAACGTAATTTTATGCGTTATTACGTACATTTTAGCAATTTTATTATTTAGGTGATCGTCAATGGTGAAGTTGCGTATCAAGGTCACCCAGTGTGTTGCACATCTGCAGTCAAGTTAATGACTAGGAATCTCCCTGATCGAACGGAAACAGGACGACAGATTGGAACGTCTAAACAGACTACACTGCTCGATAAAACGGACAGTTCTTGCATACATCGAATCAATATATCGTTGTATGTAACCGGGGCGTTAGTTGGTTGGTGGGCTGGTTGGTTGTTTGGTTCGTTGGTCTTTTATTTACCTGTCTCCTTGATTGTTCGCTAGCTTACTGATCGATATGATATAC